CGTCTGGGGCAGGACTGGCATCCCGCGGGAGAGGTACCTTCGGGGAGAGCGATGCTTCAAACCGAACACCAGCGGGCGGGCCCCGTGGTGAGGCTGGTGCGTCGCGAGGGGATAGTCCTGAGGCTGCGTGCCCACGATGGCTCTCGGGTCCTCGAACTCCGTCTGCTGGGGGGGTTGCTGCGGCGGGGGCGCCCGGCTCGCGCGCCCGCGGGCTGCGGCTGCGGACTGCCCGACGCCTCAAGCCCAATCGAGAGGATCCCGCGGCCCTGAACTGCTGCAGCTGCCTGTGCTGCTCTGCTTGCCTCTCCGCCCGGGTGAAGAAGGCAAAGTGGCGCGCCCTCCGCGTTGCCGACCGCTTGGCGGTAGCAGGTCACCTGCGAGCACTTGTCACGATACCGAGAGGCCCGGTAGACCTGCGAATGATGAGCGCAGAGGTGGGCAAAAGAGTTCCTCCCATCGCTGGGTGGCGGGAGGTCTGACGCCTGCCCGTCCTCGAGGGGCAGGGTGGTTGGCTCGGCCTCTGCGGCGTCGCGGCAACCGTCTGGGGCCAGGGGGCGAGCGCCCCCGCGAAGTACGATGCCCACCCGAACTGCCTCGCATGGCTTGTCCTCGGCCTCCACCTCCGACTCGGATTCCTGGTCGAGGACTTCTGCGATGCTCCCTGCAACGCCTGGCTCCGCAGCGCCTGTCTTGCGACGGCGGCGTCGCCGGCAGCAGAAAGAGCTACCGCAGGATAGGATGCAATAGATGAATACTATGATCTCCCAGGTGCCTCGCCCCAGGTCGGCGAAAGTCCGCCAGAGCAAGAAGATGCCGCGGCAGGAGGTGAACTTGGCGTGGGAGCCGATGTCCACGATAGCCTCGGAGTCCAGTGCGGCGTACTCCTTGCAATGGACCTCCCCAGGTTGATCCCGGCAAACCGTGTTGCGGCACAGGTGGATAGAGCGGCCCTCGAGCGTCTCCAACTTTTGGCGGAGTGCGCGTGAGCTAGCCCCTTTCACGCTCAGGCAGTCTATCCAAAAGCCCCTCTGGTCGATCCGCTTGGGCCCCGCGAGGTCGATCTTCAGTCGGGCAACGTGGTCGTCAATCTTGACCAGCACGTCGTTGGGTCGCCTCCCAGTCCCACGACCCTTCAACCTCTTGTACTCGGTAGTCGTAGCTGGCCCGGTCTCTGGCCCCATCCAATGGATCTGGGTGAGGGCAGGCGGAGCCGGCGGCAGGTACCTTTCGGCAGCTGCATCGCCAGGCTCTCGCCGGCGGCACTTAAAGCACCGCGCCAGTAGACCAATCAGCCAGAGGGCAGCCGCACATGGGGCCAGCAGAGTACGACAGATATGGGTAAGAAAGGCGAGCGCCGCCAGGAAGGCCAGGAAGATGAACGTCCACGCCACGGCAGGCCATGCGGCTCCGAAGACCGTCAGGCCCAGCTTCTCAAGGGCATAGAAGAACCAGCCGCCGTCCTTGGTCAGCCAGCCCGTCTCGGCATGGGTGGAGAAGGCGCTCCCGAGGCTGTCCAGCTTCTCGTAGGCGGCCCCGCCCATGCCACTCAAGCGCCAGGCCCAGGTGCCTTCGCTCAGGGGCCTCCACCCCAGCGCCAAGACACCCCAGCCGCCCACCCAGGACTCCTCACCACGCGGGTCGTCGGTGGGGTGGCTGCCGTTGTCGACTCCTCCGGCGGCTTGGACGGGAGGCGGGGGCGGCGCCCCCGGCGGCCCGCTGTCGGGCGGCGCCTGGGGGCTGCCTGCGGCCCCGCCTCCCTCCTCGTGCTCGTCGATCTCCATGCCGTACTCGGAGTCATCGTAGTACGGCACGGTGTGCCCGAACGGGACCTCGCGGGCCGCGGCCGGGCTGCCCCTTCCGGCACGGGCGACAGCTGTGCTGAGCGGCCCGCGCCAGTCGTAGGCGGTCGTGCCGGTGGCCAGCGCGATCAGTCCGCGTGCGGGGCCCGCCAGCGCAGGGCGCCAGGCGGCCATGGCACGCGAGTTTCCGGGCGCCCGAGGGCGCCCAGACCTCCTGAGGTCGGCTCCAGGGCTTTGAGCCCCGAAGGCTTGAGCGGGAGAGAGGGAGAGAGAGGAGCAGGCAGAGGCAGGAGCAGGAAAAAGAGGGAACCCAAGCCGACTGGGGAGGGCGGGGTCCAACCGTTTAGGACAAACAACTAAAATGAAACCGTGGCCGTCCCTCGCCCGGGAGAGCTGGGGGGGGGGGCGAACCACAACACAAACACGCACACACAGGCGCACACACAAGCACACACACACAAACACACACAACCACACGCAAACACTAAACCACACATGATCACACAAACGCACACTCACGTACACAAGCGCGCACACACACACACACTTTTTGGCGTCGCTGCCCCGCATGCGGCGACAAGGCGTAGAACGTTGAAATACAGAAAAGCATGCGCGCAAAATTATCCTGGCGAAGGTCCCAACCATGTGCAGTTGTGGGCACCGTAATTGTGAATACCTGCTTCGGTGAAGTTCCCTATGGGGCCACGAAGCGCTGCACTGGGCGGGGGGGAACGCTGTACTGTGTGGGCGGTGTGCCGAATTGGGTTTCCGGGACGCATGCGGACGGTCCCACTGAGGGCTTCGGTGGAGCTCCCTATGGGGCCACGAAACGCTCTACTGAGTGAGTGAACGCATGCGGACGGTCCCACTGGGGGCTTCAGAGGAGCCTCCTTATGGGGCCACGAAACGCTGCACTGCGCGGGTGAAAATGCCCAATTACATTTCCCGGACGCATGCGGACGGTGGCACTGGGGCCTTGGATGGAGCCCCCTATGGGGCCACGAAACGCCGCACTGGGTGAATGAGAATGCCATATTGGGCTTCTGGGACGCATGCGGACGGGGGCACTGGAGCCTTCGGTGGAGCTCCCTATGGGGCTACGAAGCGCAGGAGGGGGAGGAGGGCCACGAAACACTGTACTGGGTGTGCGGGACGCATGCGGACGGTAGCGCTGGGACCTTCGGTGGGGCTCCCTGTGTGGCCACGAAACGCTGTGCTGGGTGTGCGGGGCGCTGCCTATGGGGCCACGGAACGCTGTACTGGTGTGCGGGACGCATGCGGACGGTAGCACTGGGACCTTCGGTGGAGTTCCCTATGGGGCCACGAAACGCTTTACTGGGTGTGCGGGACGCATGCGGACAGCAGCACTGGGACCTTCTGTGAGGCTGCCTATGGGGCCACGAAGCGCTGTGCTGGGTGTGCGGGACGCATGCGGACAGTAGCACTGGGACCTTCGGTGGGGCTCCCTATGGGGCCACGAAGCGCTGTACTGGGTGGGTGAAGCGCAGGGAAAAGGGGGAGGAGGGCCACGAAACGCTGTACTGGGCGTGCGGGACGCATGCGGACGGTGGAGGAGGAGGAGGGGGAAGAGGAGGAGAGAAGGAAAACGCGGGGACCGTCTCTTGAAAACGAAACGCGAGGACCACAGGATGGTTGGGAAAAACAATTGGAAATCAGCAAACAACACACAATCACACACTCATGTTTATATAATCACACATAGTGACACATACGTCGCTCGTACCAAAAGGCACTGAGTGACACATACGTAACTACACACAAACACACATATATACACAATAACATACGAAGCACACACACACACACGCAAGCACACACACACACAAAACCAACACATTCACACACACACATGTGCACACACACACACACACGCACACACACACAAACGCATGCGTACACGCGCACTCTGCACGCGCGCGCACGAGCACGCGCATACTCGCACGCGAACGCACGCGCACTTGCACGCGAAGACGCGCACCCGGACTCTGTCTTTCTTTCTCTCCTTCTCTCTCTCTCACGTAGGCGTACAAGCCTTGGGACGACAAAAAGGCAACTGAGACGGCCAGCCCCCGAAATCCGCGCGCGCATGCAGCGGCCCCATACCCTCCGCGGCGAACCTCTGCAACCATGTCGTGAGGAGTCTCCTGGGGAGGGCCCTCCGCTCCGTCGCAGATGGGTTGGGGGTGGGGGGGCGAAGGGAAAGGGGGGCACGGAGGGGGAGCGAAGAAGCGAGAGGCGAGAAGGGGATGGGGGAGAGGGGGGGCTCGGACGGGGGAATGGGGGGGGGAGGGAGGGAGGGCGAGGGAGGGGAAGGCGGGGGGAGGGAGGGGGGAAGGAGGGAGGGAGGGAGGGAGGATGAGAGGGGGGGTCGCTGGAGGGCAAGGGAGGCAGCGCAGGCGATGGCAGCTGGGCAGAGGCCTCCTGGGCATCATAGAAGGTGCAAGCCCTGGAGAGAACGACTCCCCTCTCGTTGTCATCGTTATCGCTTTCATCGTTGTCGATGTGGGTTGTGATCGTTGTCGATGCTGCCGTTGTCATTCAATCCCTTTCCCTCTCTTTTGTTTTTTGTTTGTTTCTCTCTCTCTCTCTCTTCCCCCCCACCCTCCTCTCCTTCTCTCTCCCTGCCCCCGCCCTTCCTCTCCCTCCATCCTTTCGTGGACCACGCGCCTGCTTCGCCCCCTACGTCAGCCCGGAGCCGACCCCTCCCCGCGGCTGGCCACAACTGCATCAGTGTGCTGCCCGACCAGTGCCGAACTGCCCACACCTCCCCCCCCTCCCAGACCGCCCGCGTCGTGAAAAAGCACGGCGCACTCCAGGGAAGAATCTTCGAGCTGGAGTCGGCGGTGCATCCCCAATAGGCCGGCGAGAAGCCCCCGATTGGCGAGACCGCGCGTTCTAGGCGGGGCGGACCATCGGGCCCCGATCGGCGAGCAATCGGCGATCGGTGGTCGGGGCATCCTCCCCCGAGCCTATCCCCCGCGAGCGTTGCCACTTCTCCCCCCCCCCAGGGAGCGCCTGGGACGCGCCTAGGAGCGCTTGGGAACGCCTGGGAGCGCGCATGGGAAGCGCTTGCGAGCGCCTGGGAGCGCCCGAGAGCGCCCAGGAGCGCTCGGGGGGCGCCCGCAAGGCCGCGCGGCTGGTCCGGTGGTTTGGTGTGGTGACCACCTGCGCAGGCCGCCCCTCCTTCATCATCTTCGCCAGCTTCTCCGTCTCGGCCTTCACCGAGGCGTACAGCGCCTCCGGGGGCGGGCGGTCGGCTCCGGCGGCCCCCCACCCGGAGCGAGCCCCCGGGGCGACCCGGAGCGACCGCTGCAAGCAGGAGGGCCTGCGCTCCGCCAGTGCCGCCCGAGTCGTGGGATGGCCGCCGCGAGTCTTCGAGGGCCGGCGTGTCTGGAGGATCGACGCCGGTTTGAAGTCTCGGCGCTCGACAAGCGAGCGGGCACGATTGGTGGAGACGGGCCCCAAGGGAAAGCATCGACCTGGAATCGGACATCGCCGACGGATAGGCGCTGTGCCCTTGAGAGCGAAACAGCAAATTCCCAGACGGTGTAGGCTATCAGGCCCCTATCGGCCATAAATGGGCAATTTGGTGTCGCTGCGTTCCACCTTGAGCCTCCCCCCTAACGTTGCTCCTGAATAAGGCTGTTCACCTGATATGTGCATTTGGAAATCCGGACAAGGGCGCTTGCAAAGAACCTCAGGTACCGCGGCCGTTCCAGCGCGATCGCGCAACAATCTGGAGGGAACCTATCTCCTTCCTGGGCCTGCCTGGTCCATCCCTCCATCCATCACCTTGGAGTCGCGCACAAGCCCCCCCCCACACTCAGTTTTCATGTGTGTGCATGCGAATGAGCAGCATAAGTACATTATAGTGAACAAGCGTCTGCATCTCTGGAACTTACACGAAGCAATCGATTCCATGCATATGTATAACTTGAACACCAAGAGCTCCGGACCCCTTCCCTGGCTCCCCATGGCTACGTTCCGTCCCGAACAGTTCCGCTGACGGTCGCAGGGCCCCTCGCAGGGCCCCCCGAGGGGGTCGGCAGATGGCCAGAGGCCTGCCACCGAGACTTTTGCTCACGGCGCGACGGGAAGCCCAAGTCGTCCCCTAGCAAGGACCGTCCACAGCGACAACACACCCGAAAACCGACCGAACCGACAACGATACCGAAAATGACCGAGACCTACGTACAGGCCGCGGGCAGCCCTGAAGGGCGCAGCTGCGCAGCAACGACACATTGACCGACCGAACCGAACCGACCGAGCGCAGCCGACACTGCGACGCAGCCGAATCGACCGGACCACGGACACCCTTGGGATCCCAGGTCGTCCCTCGGCGCTGACGCCGAGCTGGGGCCACCTTGCGGCTGCCCGCCAGGTCGGGGGCGTCCTTGTACAGGGCCAGGTCCTTGGAATCCGGCGCGCAGGGCGCGCGCCCCTCCTGCTCGTCATCCTTTCCCCCTCCTCCCCTCCTCCCCTCCTCCTCCTCCCCTCCTCCTTCTTCTCTTCCGCTTGCTGGAACCCCTGAGGCAACGTAAACGGCTTCGCCGCCAACCCTCTCCCAGGTCGTCGTTGCCGTCGTCGTCGAACGGCGGCGTCGCTGGGACGACCCGAAAATCCCGGCGCTGTGGAAACCTCTGGGAAGCAAGACGACACGCGTTGTCGCGACGCTTCGGGCTCCAGGCCCGCCATGGATGGATCCGACTCGAAAAACCACTGGAGGCTCTGATCGTGATTTTGCTTGCGTAGCGATGTTCTTCCCATGACATCGAATGTTTGGCACCGACGTGGCCCAACTGGGACGACCAACATGTCGGGCGCCGGCCAACAATATGCACCACCAGCCCGTGGCGAGGCTGATCCTGGCTTCAGACTGACGTGCAGAGCTTCCTGCCCAGGCCCAGAGGCGTATAACCCAATCCAGAACTCTCCACGATGGGGCTATAGCGCAAATCCTCGATCTAGACGACGTGTGCTGCCGCTGGTGTGCGCTTCTCATCTCACACTTCTCCTCACCGAGGGGGAGGGGCCATCAACTTATTTGAGCTGCTGGCGATCGTGATTAAGTCGGAATGATAAGTTGTTCCTCTCTCTCTGTCTTCCTCTCTCTCTCTCTCTGCTCCCTTCTCTCTGCTTTTTCTTTCTCTCTCTCTCTCTTTGTGTCTCTGTCTGTCTGTCTGTCTGTCTGTCTGTCTCTGTCTCTGTCTGTCTGTCTGTCTGTCTGTGTGTGTCTCTCTCTCTCTCTCTCGATCAAGTAGTGTCAGAAAAAAAAACTGGCCTTACAAAACCATCCGTGCCCCCTGGGGATTCATACCGTGATTCATGTTGCGAGGCTGGCCCAGTCCTCCTACGGCTCTTGCGAGGCGGATGACTTGGGCCCGCCAAGACATGCAAAAGACAATACCATGCAATTCGGGGAAACGAAAACGATGTACTTGCAATCGCACTGCGGTTTTCGACTAATGGCAAGCAACAAACAACTTCGGAACACGGAAAGCGCGTGCTGTTCAGTCCTTGAAGCTTCACGACGGAGGTCCCTTGTGTGTCTCTGGCAGCGGGATCCTAAGAAGCTGTTACTCTGGAGTCCTTATTTCGGGGTCCTGGCAAAAAGGGCCACTCCTAAATAGTCCTTGCGTGCCTTGAACAAGAATTCTCTCTCTCTCTCTCTCTCTCGTTCTCCCTCGATATCTCTATTGTTAGTTTTTGTTTTTTTGGGTGTTCCTTTTAAGTTCTCTCTCTCTCTCTCTCTCTCTTCTCAAAGAGAAGGGGGTGCAGGGATCCTGCCCCTACAGAGATCATATTAGGACTCAATTTGCGAGGCGGGCACAACCCTTCTGCGGTTTCACAGTGCGGCGAAAGAATCGGGCCCACAAAGAAAGGCACCTTGGGGACACAAAAGCGCGGTGCCTTTAATCGGGGCGCGGTTTTGTGGGAACTCGCACAAGCAAACAACCCAGTCGTACCAACAAATTACCTGTATGCTTAGTCTTCGGGGTGTCCCACTCACATTCCTGATGCATCCCTTGCAACAACGGCTCCCTCTTCAAGAATCGTCGATGGAGATCCCAATAACAAGGAATCCTCCCGTGAGGGTATCCTCAATAAGGAATCTTCATTGGGAAGTTCTTGTAAAAAGGGCCGTTCCTCCGAACTAATCCTTGTTGAAGGAGTCCATATCCAAACATGTAATCACAAGAAAAACGCATGGTGTTATTTTCAAAATTCATTTTGGCACGCGTTTGGTTGAAAGCTGGGAGCAACAACGTCAACACATTCGGAGCAACGTCTGCAATCCAAAACCAGGATAGCGACGCGTCCGAAGCGCAAAACGCGATCGGAGAGGCTCGCATGGGAACTAAAAAGCATGCCTCGGGAGCTGACAGGCCACCTCTTCTACCGAAGCTCCAGGTCTCAATCCCAGAGCCGCAAGCAACCGGAATCTGACCCCAAAGCCGGTTTCGCCCGAGGTCCTCGCCCCCGGGCCGGGTCACACGCACACACCGGAAAATTGCTTGTCTGTCGCGTGCAAAGCTCCCGCGACAGGCCTGCGAGGACGCTGGAAAGGATGGTTTGAAGGCTTGCAAACTCTCGAAAGGAAAGGGAAAGGAACTGCCAAGGAGCTGCGGGGAGGCTTCAAGGAGGGGCTTCAGGCACGCATATTGGGAGCGAGCAGGAAAACGCTTCCCAGAACACGCTGCAAATTCAAGCAAGGCGCTGCGGGGATGCCTGCCCGGGTAGCCCTGCGTGCCGGCTTCTAATCTGAAGCTCTCTTAGCTCTCCAAAGGGCTATCCAGGAAGATGCATATCCTTTGGGAATGAACTTTAGCCTTCCTAAGATATCCTTTGCAACATAATCTCTACTGCAGGGAACTCCGGTGAGAAGCCTTAGCGACAAGGCCCTTCCTCAATCCGCCGATCTTGTCGGCATGCGGAGGACGCTGTCATCGTCGTCGTCGTCGTCTTCCAATAGTCCACTCGAAAGGAGACCCCTCCCATTGGAAAAGGGCGGGGATGGGGTGGGTGGGGGGGGTCCCGAGTCAGAATCCTGTCTCCCCCCAGGGGGGTTCCGCGGGGTGGTCCCCTGTGGAAGGGGGGAAGTCAGGCCCTCCACCCTCTAGTGGTTTCCCCTGTGGACAGGGGGGATAGGGGGGAGGTCCCCCGCGTGGACAAGGAAAGTTGAGGCCCCATCCACCTCCTCCCCCCCAGTACCCCTTGTGGACAGGGGAGACAAGGGTTTGGTTCCCCTTGTGGACAAGGCCAACTCCGGATCCCCCCCCCTCCCCCGTAGACAACGGATACACAAAAAACAACCACGTCCGCCTGTGGACATGGGTCCACCCTCCGTTCCTGGATCCCCCCGAAACACCCTCCTCACTCTTACATGCTGTCGCGGGGTGTTGCGTATTTTCCAACGTGCCTCCAAGAGGCCCCAGATCCGTTGCAAGGTGGCCTTAACTAACCACGGACCTTTCCAAATAATCCCGGGGGAAAAAAAACCCAACAGCCCAGGAGGCCCCCAAAAGGGCCCACGAACGATTCCAGTACGTCAGCGTCGTCGTCGGCGTCGCCGCCGCCACCGTCGAAGTCACCATCCACCTTCAAGGACGGCGGTTCCGGCTGTAAGGCCTTCGCCGAAGAACCCAAGCACCCAAGAACCCAGGCTGAAATGATCCTTAATCTTCGGAACATATATATATATATATGCACATGCTGAAAGAATCGCTACTGAAGAAATACTTGATTAACGGAATGTATACATACGGAAGGATTACATGAGTAACGGGGTCCACAATGATTCCAAATGTAGATCCGTAGAACCTTTATTTGCACAGGCTTTCCTTGTTTCGATGAACCTTGTGTTTTTGGGTTGTCAATCGAACCCACTCCACGATCAAAAACGCAACGGCTTCTTTCCCCCAATTTGCATGTGTTGTTTGTTTGCCCTTTTCGGATTGTTGGCGGGGCATTTTTTTGCCTGACAGGAGCCCGTTCCTCCGCCAGGGAAAAAGTCGCATGAGGACTGCGCCAACCTGTTGAGCATCATCCTTTTGTGAATCCCCAAGAAGTGCTGGATTCTTTTCTGTAGCGCAGAATACGTTGTGCTGCTTTAGAAATAGGGTGGGGAAAACACAGGAAAGAGAGAGAGAGAGAGAGACAGAGAGACACCGAATATAACCATTTAGTTCAGTTATGTTGCTCCCAACGCACTTAAGGACCACATCCCAGACATAATTTCGAACACCCAGGAAAGTGTCGAAAGGGTGTCGAAAGAGTTTCGAAACAGTGTCGAAAGAGTGTCCCCCAGGGCCCGACACGTGCAAACATTCAAGTTGTGGAGTGTTTTCTTGTTCGGAATTCACTATGGTGTTCAAGGCTGAAGTAGGTTGAAACATCATAAACATATAGAGAAACTGTGGGTAGAAGGTACAACCGCACCAATGCACAAGCTAAGTATGTTTGCTCGTAACACACAGGATGTGGTCTCAGACTTGGCTGCTTCGCCGAGGAAATCAAAAAATGCACAAACTCGGTTTGCTAGCACGTATCGCACAAGAGATGAAATCCGCATTGGTTGCCTCGTCGGCTGCTTCGTGGCGTGCCTCGTTGGCTGCCTCGTCTGCTGCCTTGTTGGCTGCCTCGTTAGCTGCCAAATTGACCGCCTCGCCGGATGCGTCAATGGCCAAGGGGCGGGGGTCGGGGCCTGTGGAGGTTGGCGCGGCCATTGGTTCAATGCGAGGTCGGCTTCACGCGCGCCCTGGCATGCAAGGCGGGGGCTGGAAACCTGTGACCCCCCCTGACTCCCTTCTTCAATGTTGACTGCCACGGCCAATGGGCTGTGACCTGGTCTCGCCCCACCGCCGCACTGAACATTGCAAAGATTGGGCACCGCGGAACCCGCCGGCAGAGACCCCACTCAATCTCTCTCTTCAATGTTGCCGCGGCGCCTGCCTTCTCGGGGCTGCCCGGCGCCATTTTCACAGGAAGTGGGTCTGGGGGAAGGGGGAGGGCCGTCAATGCAAGCTCGCGGGCGGGCTCTTTTGGCAACGCGTTTCGATCGCATTGTCCACGCGCTGTAGAGAGGGAGAGAACAAGAGGGAAGCCATAGAGAGAGAAAGAGAGAGGGAGAGAATCCAACATATGTATTTCTTAGAGCACGACCGCTGTGCTGCATGGTTAGCGCACACCGATTGTGTCAGAAAGTGGGATGCCCCGTCTTTTTGGAGTGGAGCCCCTGCGAATTCTGTTCCAACTGGCCTGGTTGGTCGCGCTCGCTCGTGCCCATTCGAGAATCGAAGCGAGGGCCTGGGCGCTGCTGGCCCATTTTGGCTAATTAGACGATCGGCAGACGAATAACGCGCGCAAGCTGCGCGCGCGACCGCGATAGAGTCGTTGGAACAATCAATCAATACGCACTTGTAGTTGAGGCCCGTCAAGGTTTGAACACAAACCGTGGGCGAAATCTCGCAGTGCCCAGGGGGGGGGCTCGACGCGGCCATCGTTCCTGGAAGTGCGCGAACACCTGGCGCTGCAACAAACGCTGGGGCCAGGCGGGCGCGCCCGTCCACGGCCGCTGGTCGGCCGCGAATGCCTCGCCCACAGCCCAGGCCGGCACGCTCAGCGCCCGACAGGTCGCGCTTGGGCCGTCGGAGAAAGAGGTCAGCAGCACGACGGCGAATTGGCAGTCTTGGCCTTCAGATCAATAACATCTAGCTCTGCTTGGCCGGCGTCGGGGCGGGGCGGGGCGCCGTTCCGAGACGGGCGGCACGGCCCGCCGCGCCGTTGCCCGCCCCGCGGCAACGTTCAGCCTCGCCCGGCCCTGCTTCGTCGAAGATAAAATGGGCTCGACGTTTCTCGCGCCCAAACATCCGATGACCCCCGCGAAAACGACCATGCAACGCTGCCCCCGCGCCATGGCACCCGGGGAAGAAACGCCACGGTGTCTGGCGTTGGCGCATCGGCGCAACATTCGCGCTGCCAGACTAACGCGCGACAGGGGCCGACGAGAACGCTCCAGCTAGGATGTAGGCGGCAAGCCCCCTTGCCCGGGGCGCCCAGGGGCAGCTGTCCCAGACGGGCCCCCGAGCCATCGCTAGCAGGTGGCCCTTCCGCCCGAGCATCGCCGGCCCCTGGCCCTCGGCCGCGCTCCTGAACGGGGGCCCAGGAGAGCCTTGGAGCTCTCGGGGGGGACGCCCATCCCCTCCGCCTCAAACCCCGCCAGGGAACTACCCGACAGAAATGCGACCCTCGCCGTCCAGAATCGGCTGAAAAGGGAGGGGGGGGCATTCGGCGGGGCGCGCAAACGGCCCGGGGGCCAATTTCGAAGAAAATACTTCTCTGTTCCTCGACCGCTCTCTCAATTAACCTTGGCCTGAAACTCCGCCGGGGTGATGGCTTCGCGAGCTTTGGAAGCGGTGGGGCAGACCTAAAGGGGGTTATGCAACGTGTCTCCAGCGGAGTGACAGGGCGGGCAGACGTCGCGGCCCGCCTCGCGAGTCATAGACTATAGACGCAGCCAGATTCCCTGGCGCGCAACGCATCTGATCGCGCTTCTCAGGCGGGCGGAAAACTTCATGGACCTGAGTGCTTGGGCGACCGCGTCGAAACATAATACTTTAGCCTCGGGACCCCATATGTGTCAGCCGCCCCCCTCTCGAAAACCCCAGGCACCCCTTTCCCTCGGGGGCTTCTTGAGCGCCGCGGGGGGGGTGAGTGCGAGGGGGCGGTGAGCCTTGAGGTCGCTGACCAAGAGGGCATGGGAGGTCGCGCCCGTGCCCGCGCTGTCTGCAGACAGCTTCGTCGCCCCGACGGGGCCAGAGACCTCCGCGGACAGCCTCGCCGCGGCGGCAATGGCCCCTAATTGGCGGGGCCGCCCTCCGTGCTTCGGGGAATCAAGGGGGGACAAGTCGAAAAGAGAGAGAGAGAGAGAGAGAGAAACAAAAACAACAAAGTAACAAAATATACCAACTCATCAACAACCGCAAACCACTCAAGAACGTAAGCTTCTCCCGTTCCGCATCCAAGCCACTCTCCTTCTCGCGGCAATCATTTCTTGATTGGCTGGTGGCGAAGTGCGACGCGCCAGCGCATGTGTTGAGGCGAGCGGGCTGGGGAGGAGGAGAGACGCGACAGTGAGGGGCCCGTGGCAGGAGCCGAGCGGGCAAAGAAAACGAGAGGGGATGGGGAAGAAGTGGAGGAGGGACAAACAGCGGAAGAGAAGCAGCAAGATGACCGGCGGGGGAGGGGCAGAGCGGGGTGCGGGAAGGGCAGGGCCAGAACAGGTTGTGCACGCGTGCGCGCGCGGTCCGCCGAGGCAGCATGCCACAGAAGCTGGCCTTGCTGCCTGCCCCCAGCAGCGGTCCTGCGCCTCCTCGACTTCCGACGGCGAGGGGGGGTGGGGTGGAACTGAAGGAGAGAGGGATTGCGGGAGGGAAGCACCACCGAAAGTTCCAGAAGAACTCCCAAAGCATTTGAAACTTTTCTTCCTTCTCCTCCCCCTTCTGTCTCTGGGCACGGCGGGTTCAAATTGCGATGACGTCGGCGTTGGCTTCTGACATCGTGTGGCTCGCTCAACCATGAACAATCGGCACTCTTCGGCATCGCAGATCGTTCAATACTGGAATGCCCGCGCTGTGGGCACGACATGAATACATGGTAGCTGGGCGGCGGTGCCATGCCACCAACTCCTCGAGGAACCCGTGCCGACCGTAAACACCGATCCATCGGTACCGGGTCCTGCGCAAAGGCCGGAATGAACGCGGTGTTGACCATGTCGATCATGGTGTCGGCCTCAACGTTGAGGGTGGTGTTGTAGGCCTTTGGGCGGAGTGGCTCGGGGAGGTGGCGGGATGGAGGAGACGTGCGAGTGAGGATGTATGAAAAAGAAATAAGATCGATGAGCGAGGAGGGATGATGACATGATGCAGGATGAGGTAAGGAAAGGAGGCGTGAGTGAGGAAGGATGGCGGTATGGGAGGAGGGACAAGAGATACAAGAAGATGGAGGTAGCAAGATGGGGAACGGATGAACGAGATGTGCAGAGAAGGTCCCGCGGGGGGAGGGGGCACAGCTGGCATGCACGGCGAGGAGAAACGGTTATGGGAGGAGGGTGGTGGGACGAGGCATGAAGCAAGATGAAGACAGGAGGACAGCAGGAGAAGGGAGGCAGAAGGACGGCGGGAGAAGGGAGGAAGGAGGGAAACATGGGCAGGCAGGGCGAGAGAGAAAACAAGGATGAAACGGGCAGGGACTCAAGAGGCTCCAGAATCCACCAGCCACCGTTCCATAGGCACTGCGTGCAATGTCCTCAAGTCCTTTTTAAATCATCGGCGCTCAGGCTCGAAATGTTCTTTCAGCGACCACATTTTGTTTGAATGCTCGCGTGACTTTCGGAGCTGGTCGCGTGACTGTTGGTGCTCTCCACGTGGTTCTCCCAAACCAAGAGGCCCCCAAAACTGTCCAGGAGGTGCCCGAGACGGCCACGGAACACCCTTCAGACGGCCCAAGGGGCCCCCCAAACGTCTCCCAAATGCTCCAAGACGGCCCGCAAAAGGGCCAACAAAAAATCCAAAACATGAATTCCCTTCTGGTGTTAGAAAATGGTGGCTTTCTCGCCTTTTCGGGCCGAGATCCCTCTAACAATGTTCAAGGGGCCACGTAGGCTCCCACATCACTCCCAAAGGCCTAAATCAACTCCCATGATACCCAGCAGCGCATCCAAGATGCATCCGGGAAGCCTTCCCAGGATACCCCAGGAAGCCTCTAAGAGGTCTCTCGTCCACGACCTATACCACTAGATCCGCCGACCCCAGAATGCGAATGTCACCTTGCATTGCTCTACCACGTCCTCCTCTTTCCTGACCTCGACCCCCAGCCCCCACCACGCCCTGGAGCCTGGAGCCCCCACCCCACGAAAGCTCTATTGTTGGGACCCCCCACCCTACAATCTCTCCCCACAAACCGACCAACGCCCCCAACACGCCCCGGCACCCCCACCCCACGAGAGCTCTATTGTTGAGACACCCCACCCTACAATTTCTCACCCGAAACCGACCAAGGCCCACCACGCCCAGGCACCCTCACCCCACGAGAGCTCTATTCTTGGGGCCCCCTACCCTACAGTTTCTCTGCCAAAACCAACCGACCAACGCCCCCACCACGCCCCAGCACCCTCACCCCACGAGAACTCTATCTTTGGGACCCCCCACCCACCACGCCCCGGCACCCCGACCCCCGATAACTGCCCCGGCACCCCCACCCCACGAGAGCTCTATTCTGGGGACTCCCCCCCCTACAATTGCTCGCCCAAAACCGACCAACGCTCCCCACGACGTCCCGGCAACCCCACCCCACGAGAGCTGCTGTCCCGGCACCTCCACCCCACGAGAGCTCTATTCTTGCGACCCCCCACCCTGTAATCCCACCAGCCCTCTGGGCGTCGGTGGTTTAGGGCGTTTCCTCTTCCACCCCTCCCTCTTCCCCTTCGGGGAGGGGTTTACCCCTCCCCCTACCCCCTCCCCGCTGACCTGGACAGGAGGGGCGGGGAGCGGTCAGAGCGTCCAAAACGGCCTCGGCGAGGAAGCCCAAATCATTGATTTTACTATGGTTTTGGCCCCATTTTGGCCTTCTGAGGGGGCAGCGCTAATTAGAGCTCCCCTCTTCTTTGATCGATTTCCTCCACGATGGCCGCAAGAGGCCCCCAGGATGCCCCAAGAGGCCGCAGGATGGCCCCAAGATGGCCCCAAGAGGCCCCCCAAGAGGCCCCCAGGAGGCCCCCAAGAGACCCCCAAGAGGCCCCAAGAGACCCCCCAGAGGCACCCAAGGTGCTCCCAGAGGCATTTTTACTATGGTTTGGGCCCCATTTTGGCCTTCTGAGGGGGCAAAGATGGCCCCAAGAAGCGCCCAGGAGGCCCCCAAAGGCCCCAAGATGGCCCCAAGAGGCCCCAAGAGGCCCCCAAGAGGCCCCAAAGAGGATCCCGAACGGCCCACCAGAGGCCCCCCCGAGGCACCCAAGACGCCGAAAAGCCCCCCAGGACGACCCTCTACTCGCCTGGGCGTCGTTTCTGGACGGGTGGTGGGGATACGCGAAGCGTCTAGAATTTCTCATCCGAAACAACCCAACGCCCCCCACCACGCCCTGGCACCCCCACCCTACGAGAGTTCTACTCTTGGAACCCCCACCCACAATTTCTCGCCCCAAATCGACCAACGCCCTCCACCACGCCCCGGCACCCCCACGTGCACGAGAGCTCTATTGTTGGGATCCCCCACCGTACACTTTCTCTGCCAAAACCGACCAACGCTCCTCACCACGCCCCGGCCCCCCCTCCTCGCGAGAGCTCTATTTCGGCTTTGGACAAACCTCCCTTTAGTTAACCACCCCTTAAAATTATCCCGGCAAAGCAACCTAACAGCGATGTGTAGGAGCATATCTGGAAGCATTCCCCTTAATATTCAAATGAGAATCCAGTTGTAGAATTCTGCTGTTCTCGCAGTCGTAGTCGCATTCGCGATGACAGTCGAAGTGGCAACGGCAGTCACAGTCACAGCCTCAGCCTTAGCCTGCCTCAGCCTCAGCCTCAGCCTGCCTCAGCCTCAGCCTGCCTCAGCCTCAGCCTCAGCCTGCTTCAGCCTCAGCCTCAGTCTGCCTTCAGCCTCGGCCTCAGCCTCAGCCTGCCTCAGCCTCAGCCTGCATCAGCCTCAGCCTCAGCCTCAGCCTGCCTCAGCATCAGCCTGCCTCAGCCTCAGCCTCAGCCTGCCTCAGCCTCAGCCTCAGCCTGCTTCAGCCTCAGCCTCAGTCTGCCTTCAGCCTCGGCCTCAGCCTCAGCCTGCCTCAGCCTCAGCCTGCCTCAGCCTCAGCATCAGCCTGCCTCAGCATTCAAAATGTGGCCCGGGAATGGAGTTCTGGGAAGTCGAAGACCACGAAGTGGCCTACAGTTGGCTCCGGGCATTCAAAATGTGGCCCGGGAATGGAGTTCTGGGAACTCGAAGACCACGAAGTGGCCTACAGTTGGCTCCGGGCATCCAAAATGTGGCCCGGGAATGGAGTTCTGGGAAATCGAAGAGCACGAAGTGGCCTACAGTTGGCTCCGGGCATCCAAAATGTGGCCCGGGAATGGAGTTCTGGGAAATCGAAGAGCACGAAGTGGCCTACAGTTGGCTCCGGGCATCCAAAATGTGGCCCGGGAATGGAGTTCTGGGAAATGGAAGAGCACGAAGTGGCCTACAGTTGCATCCGGCCCTCCAGAATGTGGCCTGGGAATGGAGTTCTGGGAAGTCGAAGAGCACGAAGTGTGTGACAGTTGGTGAAAAACGAGGTGGGCACAACCCGCCCGGCAACTCCCAACACCTGCCCGGACCCCCCTGTGGAGTGATCTCTGCTCTCTTTTGAGACTACTAGAAACCTATCAGTCTTCGCTGTTAGGTAAAAACTGCCTATGACCGAAACCGACGGACCTGGACCCGCAACGAAACCCGGCCGCGACGCCCTCTTGCGAACCGAAAACGGTCAATTCACTAGCCGACGTGTCAGGGTAGGAGGTCTATCAACCTATTCTTGGGGCCCCCCGCCCTGCAAATTTTCGCCCGAAGCCGACCAACGCCCTCCACCACGCCCCAACACCCTTGCCCCACGAGGGCTGCCCCGGCACTCCCACCCCTCGAGAGCTCTATCCTTGGGGCCCCCCACCCAGCAATTTCCCATACAAATCCGCCCAACGATCCCCGCCGCGCTCCCGGCTCCCCCACCCCACGAGAACTCTATTCTTGAGACCCCCCGCCCTACAATTTCTCGCCCAAACCAAGCAACGCCCCCACCACGCCCCGCCACCTCCACCCCACGAGAGCTCTTTTCTTGGGGCCCCCCACCCTACAATTTCTCACCCGAAACCGACCAAGGCCCCCCACTACGCCCAGGCACCCTCGCCCCACGAGAGCTCTATTCTTGGGGCCCCCCACCCTACAACTTCTCTGCCAAAACCGACCAACGCCCCCCACCATGCCCCGGCACCCCTACCCCACGAGGGCTGCCCCGGCACTCCCACCCCACGAGAGCGACCCCCCACCCTATAATTCCTTGCCCAAAACCGACAGACGCCATCCACCACGCCCAAGCACCCCACCCACGAGAGCTCTATTGTTGGGACCCCCCACCCGATGATTCGCCGGCCCAACGGGCCAAAAGCGTGCTAAGAACTCCAATGACTCGTTTACAATTTTCTAATTCGCCCGCGTGGCACGTGGGGCGGCCCCTGGGGGCCCCCGAACGAGAAGTGCCTGGGCAGGTCCCGGCCAGGTGGGACCCAGAGATGGTTTTCCTCGTCGTCGGGCTGAACTGCCCCCCCCAAGATGGCATGTGAATGCGGCTTCCTCTTCAAATCTGAAAGATGCAAATCGCACGCTCCATTTCACGACGCAGCGCCGGGGGGGCATTGAGCCCGCCTTTGCGCGGGCGCGAGCGCGAAGAGTCTGAGATGATCCTGAGAGGCTCCGGAGAAGCTCCCAAGGGGCTCCTCCGATGCTTCTGAGAGGCTGCTGAGGACGGCGCTGATCGCACCTCATGTAGCCGAATCCCACCTCCGAATCTTGCCTGCGGCGGCCGCGTTCCTGCTCCGAATCTTGCCCATCGACGTCCCGAATGGGGCTCCGAATCGCGCCGCGCAAGGGCTCCGAATCTTGCCCGTCGACGCCTCGGATGGTGCTCCGCACTGTTAAAAACAAGACCGAAGATAATTCACCCAACTTTCGCTAATGATTCGACCGATGTGAAACTGCCATCTTTCGGGGCAACTTTCGGTGGCCTCGTCCGGTGGCATCTC